CTGTACAGTTATTAGTCCGCAACGAAACGATATTTTACAATCTTTGTCATTCAATCTAATCCTCGAGATAAGTTATGTGAACAAAATTTCCAGCGATAAATAGTAGTTATTAATTGCAACAGTTAATCGAGATCATTTACATAATGTAACGACGTGCAATAAGCGATTTTCTGTACTTCCTGCCCGTTCGAGTTGCGAAGAACGACAGAGCGAATTACAGCGCGAACGCCGAAGTCGTACAAATTTCTCTCTTTTCCCGAAAATGTAACAGATTACACGAAATCGATACATAATTAAAAGCGCGGTGCGTAAACGAGATGTAACCGCGACAAAGTACCACGGTTTACATTCAAATTTTAGGCGAATTAGTCTCGTGAAATATGAATACGTTGATAAAGAGCCGTCGTCTCAACATGCAATTCGTTTCTCGTTACAAGTTGTAGAAACTTGGTAATTAATCAAGGAACGTTACTTGTTACTAATGAAGGTGTGCAAATCAATAGCGTTTTATCCTTACATTTATCGCGATCGAGTCTTGGAAACCGATAACACAAAAGTAATAACACGCACGGAGCGACTCTCGCCACTGCTTGCCGGCTCGACGTTCGGCGAGCGAATGAGAACGAAGCGACCTTCAGGTTCAGGTATGTACACGATGGCACGCAAAAACATCGTACGTCACCGCGCCGATAGAAAAACAACAACGAACGTTGAGAATTCGTTGTCCCGTCTACAAAATTGAAAAATCTGTACTTAATATTTTACATTACTTTGTTCCGTGACTGTTACTACGTTTTGCGTAACATTCTGCGGACTTATTGGCATTGATTCAATTAACGATTAATTCTGTTCAATCGAGACTATGTTTTGAAACAAAAATCGTTGTTACTTAAATAAAGTTAAAGAAGATATTAATCAATGCTCTGACAGCACTGCGAGATCCCACGACAGTTATAATTACATTAAAAATCACCTAACCACGCGAATACAGAATTAATGGTAAAGGGTGAACTTTTAATATTTTCAAAATATTTTATTTTTCTATTATAATACTTCTTTTTTTGTAACTATTGTATATTATAATAAAAATGTATAGTTGAGACGCCCGCCTAGCGAGAGGGAGATCCAGGTTCGAACCCTGGCTGAGGTAATATTTTTCGCAATAAATCATGAAATATGAAATGTTTAGACAGTAACATAATGTAACACCCTGTCACGGCTCTTAGTCTTTTATTCCTTCAAATTTGTGTTTATCACATTTGAGCCATACGAATTTTATTAAAAATGTATAAATTATAACGAGATAGACAAGTAAATAGATGCATTCGGAAAAGCATTCTGCTCTATAGTTGCCTTTGTCTCCCTCTCTTTATCTCCTTTTTTCTTACTAATAACTAGTATTATTTATATATAAATATATTTGTAAATAAAACATAAATACAGATTAAAACTAATCTATAATGGACGGTTGAGAGTAATCAGAGCGTAAACGCTTTTATTCTTTCACGATATATTAAAAGATGAAAGAAATCATCCATCTTGTTGTAAGAAATTGTTATATCAAATGTTATACTTTGATCAAATTAGATTATATCAAATTATGTAAACGAACAATCGTATGTTCGCTATTTCTAAAATATATTTTGCAAGAAATTGAAGAAGTTTCCACCTCGATATAAAATATAATTCATATTTTCATATAAATTTATAATTAACAAAAAAAACGATTATATCATTGTATTATATCATTGTTAACAAAAAGAGATGACGTCATACAGAAACGATAAAAGATTCCGATAACGAGAGATCAATTATCAAACTCAAATCAAACCCGCTGGCTGCATTATTACGATATCAAAATACGCGACAATGGTATTCGCACTTGCATAAACTTTAAAGGCACGATAAAACTAACGAGATCCCACTCGTTAAAGACTCGTTACGTTCTGAATGGAATAGCAGGTGCGCATTGCCACAATGTCGGTAATGTAAATGCAATGGCAAACCGTTGGAATTATATTCTCGTTAGATTGCATTTTGCTACTCAGTCGAGAAATATTCGCTTTAACGTAAACCGACATATCGAACTTTTCATCGATCCATATGTTGTTTTATTTCAATAAAAACCTATTGCCGGTTAATCTGGCACACGATATCAGATACGGTATCATCGTCATGCGGGAAAAATAAACCGTATAAAAATAAAACGAGTACTTATCGGTTGGAAGCTGATAAAAATCCTATTGTATTTACACACGAAATTGTCAAAATATATCAGTGCGCACAAAAGGAAAACCTGGTATTTTTAAAAATGCACTAGGTTCGATGGTTCCTGTTGGCGTTTCAGGATTAATTATTCAATATTAAGGCACGAAAATTACGGCACTTTGTTATTTAATTCGTTTTAAACTATCTTTCATAATTAATTGACGCTTGACTCGTATACTGATTATGGAAACCAACCAATGTAATAGTTGTTTTTTCGTTTTTCAAAATTATGTAATAAAACTAAAACGTCCGAATTGCTTCCGCCTCATTGCACAATTATTAAAATACGAAAGCTCGCTATATATATATATATATATATATATATATATATATATATATCTATGTAAAATAAAAATTCAACGGATTGCTGAATTATTCGATTTGGCCTACATATACGTGATGGTGCTGTGACACAAGGGGCACGCGTTTATGTTAACAACGTCGCGTTCCGCTGCGACGTGGTGTCGGCAAACGGTGCAGATCCACGCGACGCTGAGGTCCATGAGCGGTTTGCCCGAGACGATGCAGGCCGGGAATCTGGTCGAGCAATTCGGGCACGTAATGCACCAGTCGGGCACCAGGGTCTCGCAGTTGACGCATTCCGCCTTGTTGTTGCGTGAGTCCTTCGGGGTGTGCTTCGTGAAAATATCAACCGCCAGTTCCTCGTATTCCTCCCTCTTCGCCTCCGAGACCGTCTCGAGGCCTTCCAATTTTATGAAGGCTTTCGAGCAGGTGGCGAACGCGCGATTAACGGCGCTCGAGAGCGCCAACAGGCAATAGACGTCTTCTACTTCCAGTATGTCTTCGTAATCTCTCAATCGCAGTGCGGTCTTCATCGCGGCATCGAAGCTGCCGTCGTACAACTGTCTATGCGCGAGCAGAAGGAAGTGATACGCCTCGGCGCCCCGCCAGGCGTTCTCGATGATCTTGGTGTCTTCGTTGTTCTCGGTAAGACCCATGACGACGTTGCTGCGGCCGCCCTTTATCGCCGGAACGCTGTTAATGTGGTCCTCGATCAGCAGCGCCGCAAGAACGTATATCTTCTTCACGCGCAGAGGATGCGACTTGGACCTGGCTTGCTCCTCAGCGAGGTGAAGCAACAGTTTAGCCGCTTCCAGATTATAATTGGCTTTCTTGTACAATTCGATCGCCTGCAGACGCTTGCCGTTTGACAACAGATGATTGGCGTATTTGCTCAGCAGCTCGCCGATCTGCGCCATCTTGTAAGTCTTCGCCAGCTCGACGGCCTGGTCCCAGTGATTCAGACGCACGCACGTATCCACGGCGAGCTTGACGTCTCCGTACTTAATATAAGCCGCCACCGCCTGCGGGCACATTCCCACCGAAGCCAGCATCCTCGCCACGGTCTTCAAGATGGGACTCTTGTCCGGCAGTTGTTCCACCGTCGCCGCAAGTTGAATGAAATCCTCCAGCTTGTAATAGCACTGAATGAGTCTCTCCAAATTTCTGCCCTTCTCGTAGTACTCCCTCGCGCTCTCCCAGTTCTGCCGCTCGGCAAAGTGGTCGCCGATCTTGTTGTACGCGTGCTCCATTTGCTTGTCCGAGCCGCCGATGCCCATCTTCATCAGCTGCACCACCCGAAAGTAGTCGCCCAGCTTCTGGCGTAGCGCGACCGCCAGGTCCCGCCTGTCCATGTCCAAGTAGAGCTTCTCGGCCTCGTCGTAGTTGCCGAGGAACGCCGCGACCTCGGCCTTCTTCAGCTGATCGTTGTGCACGTTCTGCAGCCGCTTGATAAACTGTATACCCAGGTAATCCGTGCAGCGCACCATAGCGTTCTCCGCGGTTTCCAGGTCCAGCTTCGTCAACGCCGACTCGGCCAGTAAACGCCAGAGGCGCGGATGCGGGTTGTCCTGGATAAAATTATTGGTCTCCCTCAGGCCCACCTTGGCCAGTAACTCCCTCGTGTCTCTCAGAGATTTCACTTCCAAGTCCACGATCAAGTCCTTGCGCGTGTCGTCGGACATCAGCATGAGATCGTCCAGCAGAACGCAGCGTATCTCCAGGTCTTGGAACGAACAAATGTATCCAGAGCACGCTATAGGCTCCTCGGGGTCCAGTCCCCTCAGAACGTACATCCTGGTTTTCTCCATGATCGCCAGGAGCGACGGATTGTCCCGTGCCCAGCACATGGCCCACACGTCCTTCCTCTCAAACTTGGATATATCATCGCCCGTGTCCCCGTCCCGCGAATCAGGCGGCTTCGGCGAGTCCAGATCCAGCATGGTGAGTATACCGTTGGCGTCCAGGATGGAGACGCGCGTGGAGTCGCAATTAATAGCAATTTTGTGCAGCCTGCACGCGGTATTGTATCGATTCACGAGCGTGATCTGCGGCAGAGAGTACCGCTGAATCATTCCCGAGTCCCGGCCGATCAAGAGAATCTTCTCGGTGGCGTAGACACAGCAGATCGGATCCATGGTGGCCTTGGTGCTAATGGGGGTCTCGAACGCGCCGTCCTTATCCAGATCCTGGATCACCTCGGTCACGCCGGTCGGCGTCTCGTCCACGTGATAGATCTTGTACTTGCGCATCCTGCTCGGGTGCAGCATCGAGTTGCGAGGCGCGCGGAAGTTCCACACCAAGAAGTTGTTCTTGGACGCGGCCACGACCATGCTGGCGGTCATGGTGAGATGCAACGGCTCCAGATCCAGGAACTTGGAGTCTATCGGCGTGGCGATGGTGTTGCAAACGAGAAGGGCGAATTGCTCGGTGACCTGAGCGGGGTCGTTCCTCACGGAGAGCACGCAGTGCTCCCCGTACGAGGCTATCGATATCAGGGATCGCACGTACTTGGTGCAGCACGTGTTGCTGCTCGTGTTCCAGAATGTCACGCAGGTGCCGTCCTTGCCGATCTTCTCGTTGGTGAAGACGACCGTGTTGCTGAAGTACGTCCACTTGTAGTCCAGGCGGATGTTCGCGAAGTATATGTGAGAGTCGACGGACAAGGCGACGCGGAGGGAGCCTTTCTCCCAGGTGCAGCACGTCACCTCCCGCCCTGGTACCTTCAGGGTCCTCATGTGCTCGCCGAACGGCGTGTAAAACTGTATAACGTTCATGTCCTTCGTCTCCCCGTTACTGAGCAACGGCATCATGCCCGTCACCGCCAGGAGCGAGCCGCAACTGTTCCAGTTGCACCACGAGGCGGTCACTCCGGTTTCCATCATGATCGGATTGTCGTCGCTGGTGTCTCGCATCAACAGTATCCTACCGTTGCGATAGCAAATGGCCAGAGTGGGACAGTCCATGGCGACGTAGCCGTTCCTCCCGTCGTACCACTGCAGCGCCACTATGGTCTGATAGAGGGAGGTGTTCGCCGAGGGAATGTTCAATTTCATCAGGAACACGCCTTGATTGTTGTAGAGATGAAGCTCTCCGTTTTTCAGACCGAACAGAAGCAACTTGCCGTCCGGGGACCACTGCACGGCGGAGAGCGACACGTTCTTCAGCTCTTTACCCCAGATTCGGTTGCCGTCGACGGACCCGACGATCACAGCCCCGTCCTCGTAGACTATGCATATCTTCTGCCCGTCGCAGCTCCACGCCATGCCTCTCACCACGGATTTGTTGCGATTGTTTATCATCTCTTCGTACCACGAGCCTTTGTACAGCATCCAGACGATGATGACGCCGTTCTGGTCGCTTGACGTCAGCTTCTGATGCTCCTCGTTCCACGTGACCACCTGAACGTGCCCGTTGTGGCCCTCCAGAGGCTGATTCATGCTGAGATTGCTCGCCGCGGCCAAGCCGCGGGACTTGCCGCCACTGTGCGAGCCGCTGGCGTTGGAGTCCACCCGCAGCACCTTCAGGAGACCGTCTTCCCCTCCCACGGCGATATACCCGTCCTTCTGATTCCATGCTATGCAGTTCAACCGAAAGTTGTTCGGTATGGAGATCTTCTTACTCAGATAGACGAACATTGCCGGTTCGTGTCAGCCACCCTGGGCAACTTTCGCAGGACTGGAGTGAAGCTCTGAAAACAAAGTATTTCATTTGCAACCCGGACATCTTTAAGTCGTCTCTCAGACATGTGCGTCTGAAAGATATCTGGTTGCACTAAACGTTGTCGCGTAACTTTCAAGCTTAGCTTGATTTGCTCTTCGTCTCTTTCTGTTTCCCTGAAGAAAGAGACGAAGAGTGTCAAGCTAGGGTTAAAGTTAAGTGACGTTGATGCGACCAGGCCTTAAAGATGCTTTGACGTCGTAACATCTTTTCGGCCTGGTTTCGCCAAACGTCGCTTAACTGTAATCTCACTTTAATTCGTGGTCGTCTCTCTCGAAAGTAACAGTTGGAAAGAGACCAAGAATTAACGTCAAACTTTATCTGGCAGTTTTTATGTTTAAGAATCGCTACGTTTCGACCATGGGTTTTGGTCCTTTTCAAGCGATCCGACTGAGAAAGTCATGTACGCGCATTCGCGTGTACTTCGGTGATGTAGAAAAGATTGTCGTCTACTCACACAATGCCATAAAAATATCGTGTCCAAGTTTGCTACCCGAGAACATTGCTAGCGAGATGACGGAGCACGACGGAGCATGACATGGAATCAAGCTAAGCTTGAAGTTAAACAACGTTGGTGAAACCGGACCTCGGGCGTGAGTGCTGTCTGCACGGGACGAGAGTTTCCTAATCAAACGAGGTGGTTTATTAAACTAGAAGCCAAAAGGTCACGCGATCAATGTCGAAACGACGTTGAATCGACATCGACACCGTCAAATCGTTTCGACATCGATCGACGAATCCATTTCTCACTGGGACTCTCGTGAGACAGCAAAAGTGTCATTTCGCGCGGCTCCGCGCGGCTGCGGGATGAAAGCGAGTACCGTGCTTTATCGCGGCAAGTGGCATTCGAAGCGAGCTGTCAAACTCGTTGCGTTCCCGAGTACAAACAACTGTCAAGTTCACCCTAGCAACGAGGTCGCGGTGTACATAGCAACGCGAGGCCGCGCGCCATCTGGAAACGTTCGTGCGACCTCGCGGCCTATCGCCGGTCGGACAATGCGTTTCCTGCACTCGGGGATCCGCGGTCGTCGAGCGCCCGACACGCAGAGTGGATTCGGATGTAAATATCGTTTTCTCGGGGGGAGATGCGAACGCTCGTAAGACAATTATTTTCCAACGACCCCCGCTGAGAAATGATTCGCCGAAGCGATGTCGACGCTGTCAAATTGACGTCGCTCCGACATCGGTCGACGACTCGTTTCTCGCTGGGCTAGTGCCAATACATCGGTTAATTATTTTGCTAATTATTTTCGTCGCATTGCAAAGTATCTAACGTGCCACCGACCGAGGTGGAGACAACCTTCGTCTCTTGGTTCTCTTGAGGCTTGGATGCTCTCTTTCTTGTTGTAATGCTTACTTTTTCCTTTTAGCACATCGAACGGCGTTTTCCAACTCTTGAAGCGCAAACGTCGGTTACTTGCTAACCAGAGGTTAGTCGATTTCTCTACGTGGACACGGCTACGTAGTTCAACGTACGCGCTTGGCGACGCGCTGGCGGACGAATCCGTGTATCCCGTTTCGAGGGCAGGGGGATTCAACTGCGGAGTATAATGCAGCTGCGGAGAGCGAATCTAACGTACATGCGGCCTCATCCGTCCCGGGCGTCGCGCGATATCGCTCGACGTTAGCTGACACCGATCCCCCGTCGAGCCAGCCGAGAGAAAGCCCGCCCGAGCTCATGATTAAGAGCGTGTCTCGGTCTCCCGTTCGCGAAATCGCGAGGCATAACCGGACGTAATGTGCGTCGCGACCCTTCGGCGAAACGTGGATCCCGAGACACGGGATTCTGAGACATGGGAAATCCCGATAGTTTAGGAATTTTACTCGTAAGTATTTCCAAGTGTCGGGGAACAGGCCAGAATGTTTACTCTTAAGACAATGTTTTGTCTTAAAACGACGTTCGAGGCTTTGTCTTGAGTAACGCACAGAAACTGTATCTTGACACTTTGCAAGCTTGTAAAGCGTTTTTTCCGTATACCACATTTGAGACTCGAGACACAAGACAGTTAGGACCTGAGTGACTCTTGTACTCTTGAGTTTTGTGGCTTGAGTCCTTGCTAAACTTGATCTACCTTCTACAGTGCTCTTTGCGATTAGAAACATTCTATCCTGTGTAAGCAAAGCGACACGCAAAGCGCCTGAGCAGAATGACTGTTTTGTACTTTTAAGACGCAAGGCAGTGACTGCGCGTCACTTTAAGAGGAAGATTTAAAGCGTAAACATTATCTTTTAAGACTACAAGACGTCATTCTGCTCAGGTCCAAACATTTGTCGACAGGACAGTTGGAGCCTGAGCAGAGCGGCTGTCTTGTACTCTCAAGACAACGGTACATGTCTTAAGTAA